GCCCATGGATCTTGGGTTCTGTTTCTGATTCTCTTCTGGCTTGTTTGATTCTTTGATTCTTTTGTTTGATTCTGTCCCTTTTTTGTTACTGCAAATTTTCAAAAATGTCCATTAGGTTTGGATGTTCCAAAGGTTTGTCACCAACATAACGCTATGCCGTCATGCTTAAACAAGCTGTCTGGGGTAACAGAAGTGAGAGTGCCAATATACCTGTCTCTTATCTTTTAATTTTAACAGTCTCATTCCTCCTGAAAATACAATGGCAGCTCAAGTTCTGTGGAGTAAACACAACATAGAAAGTTTCATAATGGCTCTGTTGGACTAGAGAATTAAATGATTCTGTACCTTTCTGTGAGGCAGGAAAAAGAGTATTTCATTTCATCAGAAGGACCAAAAAAGGGAAAAAGATGAAATTATTATTGAAATCATAATGGGACTTTGGGATATGAGCAAATCTTAATTAAAGAAAATGGTGACTGACTTTCCATAGTCTTCTGATTCGAAGTTAATTATGTGACTTATTATTTATAGCTCACTAAGACAACCACTTGTAACACCTCCAGAGTTTACTCAACACAATCAAATTTCTAAGGTATGTGAGGAAAGTTCTCTGATTTAAAAAAAAAAAAAAAAAAGTGCATGACATTGGAATTCCCTTTAATACTGGATTTATTTCATCATTCTTGTATTTCAGTAGTTTTGACTCTGCAAGTAGCTGAACTGAAAAATGGGCTGAGATTTTTGTAGAGGGCTAGAATAGATGGGTAACATCTGGCAGAATCTGATCCTTATAAACGATGAAGCCAATTTTGTAGTTTTTTCTTGATAATTTTTAAAGAAATTTTCCTTAACACTTTTCTTTGATACCAGCACCCCACTTTGATGCTATCGTTTTGAGCTGTGCTGAGCAGGAGTAAGCTTTGGAGCCCTTGTGGGCTGTCTTGCAGGGATGCAGAATTCTGGTCTATCCTAAATGGGATTGTATTTATACTTATATGTTGTATTGGTCTATATGCGTCAGTCTTAATAGAGAGATGCTTGCATAGCACATGTAAACTATTCTTCCAGGAATCTTGCAAATTACACACATACCTGGTCCTGGAAAGCTGTATAATCCATGAAGAGTAAAGAAGGCACAAAATTATTTGCTAATGCCACAGAGGCTTTTCTGTTACTTTCATATAAAGAACTGTAATACCAATGTGGTAGTTTCAAAGACCAAAGTTTGCTTGCACACTAGGCAAAAAAGGCAAAAGGAACTTAAAGATGTGAATAAGATTAGCGACTTCTTACTGTCACCATTAGAATACCTGGTTTAATTTCAGAGCAGTTGTTTTTACATAGAGTTAAGCTTGATGAAATAAGGTAGTCATTATGGAATTGTTGAGAGAACAGTAACTGAGAAAGCCATACTGCAGATGTAGTAACAGGAAAAAAATGCATAAAAATAAGCTAAATGCTCTGCTAAAGACATGTTATTCCATGCTGTATACTCTCTCTCCAAACTTACTGTTCTCACCCTCAGATATCTGTAGTGAATTTCTAGGCCTGCATACAGAACAGGTCATAACAAGGCAATCCTGGGACTGGAAATGAGTTGTGAGAACACATGTACCTCCATTTCCTGTGTGGTAGGAACTAGTGGAAAAGGACAACGGGCCACCAATGGCCAGATCCAGATGGCCTAAATTCTACCTAAGTCACTGTGCCTAGTGTGTCCAAGTAACTGTACTCACAGCCAATAGAAATTCCTAGCTGGAGTTAAGACGTGTGACCCATTAGGGTCATGCAGTGGCCAGTGGCACAGAGATTTTGGCTCCGAAACTATCCCTTTGGTATATCTGAGGGCGTGTCCCTGTAACACAGCTATGTGAAACATACTAAGCACTGGAAGAATGTAACTGTGGTACTGGGCAGGAGCTGCAGAAGGGTGAATGAAGGCCTACGAAGCAGAACAGTGCAAAACCTATGCTGCTTCCTGGCACTTGAAGTGCCTTGGTTAGAACTAGTGTGCCATCTCTGCAGTTTGCTGCAGTGTAGACAGCTTGCATCTTCCAAACAGCTTACTGGAAAAGAAGCAGAATACAAGAAAAGACCACCACCAAGAAGGGGTAGTCAGAAATGTGAGTAAACCCACATAAATTTGAGACTATGTTCAATGACCAGGTGGTCATACATTGAGTAGTACAGTAAACTTGGATACTTTCATCCTCAGCTCCAGACCTAGCACTTCCCATTGCCAGAAATTGTCTACTCTGCAGAAGTTTGTGTCAGCCCAGTAATTTCACAGTGCACACGGTGCATCCAACATGGGCTCTAGAAACCCATGCATGGAATCAGATGTGAAAGGACTCTGCTCACTGATGCCTGGGATCACATTGACTCATTCATACTCTGGAAATGTTAGTATGGTCTAAAAATGACCAACAGAGTATATTGTGACATATTTTTAGTGAGTTGCAACCCACAACCTTTCAGTGTTCTGAGATGTGACAGTTTCTACTGCAAAACCATCTTATTTGATCCCATCTTTTCAGTTCCCTCAGTAGCTTAGTCCTAATTTGTAGTATGGGGCTTTTTTTTTTGGTTATTTATGAACATGAACACGTAAGGCTGGGTTTACTGGGTCAAACCTGAAGCGCAGTATCCTGTCTCAAGCACTGGCAGAACTGTTACGCAAGGTGAATGGCAACTGGTGTTTTAAAAAATGTCCACTCTGCAGATCTGTGCTCTGGAGTAGGGTAGGCTGTACATTCAAGGAGCTTCCCAGCTTAACCTTCTGTTTTCCTCCTGACTCTCTAGAAATGTTCTGCAGAAGTAGCCAGAAAGTGGTTAAAAGTACAGAACATATCAGGTGTGATTTGATTTAAAAGGAAAGGAATGGCAATCTGAATCAGGAGAGAGTGACGGAATGTTTTCTGTTTATTTTAAATGGTGCTTGTTAGTACAACGGAAAGCCCACATAAAACACAGCTTTGGCATTATTCACGGTGGTCCTCTGAGGAAAGATTTTAAGTTGTCTTTGTCTGGGGGCAGGTGAGCTTAGAAGGTTTGATGGGGTGGAAAGTGATCCCTTGAGGGGATTTGGAGATGAGAAATATCACCAGAGTAACAGCAGTAACTGATTCACTACTGAACACCAGTATTTTGTCAAAACAATGAAAATATTTCCAGTATATTTATATCTGACCAATGCACTTGAAGCAGTTGGTGTGGGGCAGAGCTCTTATTTATTCACTCTAGAAATGCACTCTTCTGCTTCCCAGGAAATGGTATAATACAAAACAGCTTTGCCTTTGTTTCCAGTTTCCTAGGATGTTTAGAAACTTCACGTGTAGTACGTACTACACCTCTGTGGACGGTTTTGTCAGAAAAAAATAAAAAACCCGTACTCAGAGCTTCCTAGCAGCTGAGGGGCTAATGACAAGGACCGCTGCAACAATAACAGCTGCATCCTCAGCATCCACTCAAAACCTTTTATCTCTCTGAAAATGTCAAAATAGATAAGAATCTTAAGCTAAACCTGAGTTAGCAACTGAGGAGATCCTTATTAAAGATATCCTCACTGGCTTTACAATGCCTCCTCATTTATTTATGTAAAGTAACCACTGGGAACAAAATGCATTACCAGCAGGAGGAAAGTGCACTGTTCTTGTCCTGTCCTCCCCTGTCTCAGGAGCAGAGGTAGAAAAGCTATTAAGAATCTCACTTCCTCTTTCATTTCTAGCTTTACAGAGGAGAAATTCATCTGGCTGAGAATGACACCTGAAATTTCCAACTAAAATTAGCAACTAGTAGAGCTAACAGAAAAGCATTATTTTGATCTTGTCCACAGCACAGAGAAAGGCAAAACAGCGTATTCCCCAATTTTTGCACCTGGAAACAAGATATTTATGAAGTTTCAAAGCTGAATTGAACCTCATGGAAGTCATAACTACCATCACCTGAAACTGCTGGAGCTCTGCAAAGTCAATTCTGGCAAGGTATATAACGTGATTTTAACATGTAGAAAGGAATTTTGTGAGTAATTTCAATGCATTTCTAAAAAGAAAAAGACCTGGAGTTTAAAGCAATCTTTCTCTAAATGAAAATTCAGGAATTGCTTGGATTTCTGAAGCATGCGGGAAGTTATCTTTCTAGTACAGCATGTGTGAAAACAATTGTAATGAAGGAAAAATTTCCTAGGAGAGAGCCGCAACACCTTGTGACAAAGATGGTCCATCGAAGCGTCTCTGTTGGAGACGCAGTTGTCAGATTTCCCCTTTGCTCTGCAGAGACTAGAGCTGCCCTATTACATTATTGTCATTAGCACAAAGGTTAAGTTTATCCCTGTCCTGTTTTCTCTCTCAGTCACAAAAAGACTGCTTTGCTGCTGATAATCAGAAAAAAACCCTGTAATACCTGTTCTTACCACACCTTTGGTTATGCACTGATGGCAATGTAAATAGTCCCTTTAGTTAAAATCGGGAGAAACAAAGTGGCTCAAAGCTGTCTGTGAGAGGAGCTATTAAAAATGGAATCTGAAGTGGTTTCTGAGGAGGAGACATGCCTCTGCCAGCTGAAGAAATACAAAGAGGAGGGAAATTTGAAGTCCCCTCACTAAACCTGCAATCCCTGTAACTCCTCATCAGTATGAATTAGATGACATTGACTGAGGGACAGAGATTGTTTTGGCAGGTGGGGAAAGCAACGCTGAGCAATGGCTGCTGTCAGAGAATTAGTATTAAAAGATGGGAATGCAGAGAGCAGCTGAAGTCAAACAAGGAGAAAGGGATGTAAAAGAAAGCAAGAGTAAAAACAATGACAAGTTGAAGGAGAAAGACCAAAGACAGGAAGGAAAAAATGTGTTAGAGATTTTGAAGAAGCAGTGAAGAATGCAAGTGATGAACTATTGAGGACTCTCTGCTTCTCATCATTTACTGTATATTATCTCTGATTTTGATTTTAGCAGAGAATCTGATCTCAGCCTCTCACCCCAAGCTTTTCCTCTCCTTTCTCACCTGTCCACTGCAATCGCCGTCATGGAGTAGATGCTGGCAAAGACAGCTGTGATGGGGAAGAAGTTGTGGAAGCGGCAGTAAGCCTCTCCAAAGTACCACTCGCTATGCAGGGCATAGATGAAGTTGATGAGTGTATTAAAAGCAGCCATGGAGGCATCTGAGAAGGCCAGGTTCACCAGGAAGTAATTGGTCACTGTCCTCATGCGCTTGTGAGCCAGGATGATCCAGATGACGATGAGATTTCCAAAGACTGCCACTGCCACCACCCCACCATATACCAGAGACCACAGGGCAATGCGCCAAGAGGGTTGCACAAACTGATTGGAGAAGTTGGCTGTTGAGGATGCTACAGAAGGAGAAGCATTTCCAGCTAGCGCTCCCAGTGCCTGTCCCCAGAGATCACCCGACTCAGCAAGGCTCACATCCCACCTGCTGCTCATGTTCCCACTCCAGTTGGCTGTGGGGCCAGAAGTCATCTTGAATGTTCCTCTCCTTTCTTCCAGGAATAAAAAGTCTTTCCCACCTCCTCCTTCTAACACTCCAAAATCCCCTCCAACAGATAGGGAAAACAAAAAAAGAAAAAGCAAGTTAGCGCAGGGAGACCAGCATACTGGGAAGGAGGGAACTGTCTAAGAAAAGCTTTGGCTATGCTATTCAGACCCTGAGAGATGTTGTACTGGCTGGACCAGGAGAGCTACTGTTTCTAGGTAGAAGAAAGTACCATTGCATGCCTCTGTACAGCCTGCTCTTGCTTTTGGTTTTGCTGAAGGGGATCAGGAGCCAAGGCACGTTTTATAGGCTTGTGAGGTGCCAGCGTCATAAAGGGAGTGGAGTGAGGAGCTTCATCGGCTGGTAAGACAACACCTCTTTCTCTCCCCTCTCCCGCCTCCCTTTTGTTCCATTCATTGTCAGCAGCAGGCACTTTCAGAAGCTGTGGAGAGAGCCACCAGGAAAATGAATTCTCCGCTCTTTTCTCGTTGGGAGATTTTTTTATTTTGCCTTTCTTTAAGTTTCATTCTTGTGCTTTGTTTTTAAATAGCCCTTTTGCCCTGTCTTTGCAGGACTAATTAAATGGCTTAACTGAATATCCAAGGCTGAGACTGCTTTTTATTAAAGCTATTTTCAAATAAATTTATTCAGATCCTTTTTTTCTGCTACTGTCTCTTCATTTAGGATGTGTTTTCCTTTGATTCATTGTTAACTACAGATTTGAAATAGTGACCTCTTTCAGATGAAGAAATACATCTTGATGCTCTCTAATTTCTCTTTGCATTCTGTAATATGCAATTAACATCGAGAAACGTCTATAAAATTAAAATGTAATTACCTTTTTCTTACAGGACTAACTTTGGTGCCTGAAAAGCTGTTTGCATATCCAGCAGACACTGATTTCCATTTGAACACCATGCAGACCTGTATGTAGATTTTCTTAAAGTAGGGGTTTATTTTCCTTGGGTCTTTTCAAAAAGATTATATATTTTGAATTCTTTTTACTTATTTGCATTTATTTCAGCCTAAGTACTATTATTATTTTGAGTAAACAATATTTTTATATCCAGTGATTTCTGTACTGATAGAAAAAAGGTAAATGAGAAAAAGTAACACCTGATTTTTTCCACATCTAAGAAATGAGTTTTCTTGTTAATTTGTTAACAGCAGCTGGCATAGAGATTGCATGCTCTTTGCAAGGGTTGATTGCAAGGCACTTCAACCAACAAACCTATGTTATTTGATAGGCTGCAGTCTTCAGGGAGAAAATGTGTTTTAGCACTGATCTGCTCCATGCTTCAGCAATTTAGAGCTGCTACTTGTCATCAGCAGAGATTTCCTTTTACCTGTATCACAGCAGTGGGAGCTATTTCAATAACTCTATTAGAAATCACACATTCTCCATGTTTTTAAACAAAAGCTTCATACAAAAATGAAGTATTCCTGTGTGTCATTTCCTCTCTGCCGTATTTACCCTGTGGAAGTGGTGCCTGCACTTTAATAGTTGGGTCTTCACTGCAGTTTTAATTTGGATGATTGCAACTCTGGCCATTTCTGTGTGCTTCTTAGGTCTTAGCAGCTGATGTAATGCCCAGCAGCAGCTTCCCCCCCCCGGCTTAGAAGCTCTGCTGAAATGCAACCTTTGCTATAGCATATCTAGAACCTATCCGCGTGCTGCAGGTCCTCTCCTCATCATGGGAAAACCACTAGAATTAATCACACAGTTCGGTGTTTTGAGTCCTTCATCTTCCATCTGCATGGTCCTTCTTCCTCTCCCTGGAGGTAACTCTGAAGAATAGTTGTTCACAGGCCGTTTCCCAAATAGACCTTGTGCCATGCTCTCAAGAGATCCCATAGTAAGAAGCACAGTGTCAGCAGAGGCTCTTAGTGCTGTAGTAGGTTGAGTCACTTGTTAAGTTTGTTCCCAAGGGAATTATACCATTCTCTGCCTTTTGGGCATGAACCTGGGGGGCCTTGGGAAGGCAGTGAAGAATAAGCAGTTGAGTAGTTCAGGTGCGCTCTCCTGGTAAAATCAATGAGATGCTGGCCAGAGGGTTAGCAGCTAGGGCTCCTTGTGGCATATTCTCCAAAATAGACCCAATGGATTGGACTGAGAGAATCCCAAGTCTAGGCAAAAGTCTCTAGCTTACAAGAAAAGATCCAAGTCACAGGCAAAATCCAGGTAAGAAACTGAATTAACTGGAGTGAAGAAGACCCCTGTGAGTCTGTATCTATTGAAGAATTCAAATGTCTATTCCAGTGAGTGAGGAATACAGGACTGGCTAGTTATAGAGGTGACTTGAAGACCCACTTCTTAATTCTAGAAGCTTAATTCAATATGGCTATGAGCCAGCCCTGTGCCCTACACCTTTCCACCTTCATCCCCAAACTAGGAACTCCAGCCTGCGTCCTTTCACCCTACTGATACGTTTTCCCGCGTTTCCAGACCAGATGTTCAGTGCTTTCAAGTCAATACAAGTCACCATCTCATTATGCAAGCAAAGACATAGTTTAATTGAGTCCTCAAGACTTGATTTGAATAAAAATCAGGAAGATTTTTGTATTTTGTGTTTCTAAAATGCCAGCCAGACCACCAATACAGTGCGTGATTAAAAGTGTCAGCTTCCCAGTGTAGAAGTGAAAGTAGCCTTCCTTCCTCTCTTCCTCTTTGGAGGTACCCTGAGGAAATACTCCACTCATATAGGAAACGTTTTATACACTGCACTCTCCGCTATCTCCCCTCCTCTCCTCCCCTGATGAGGGGAAGAAAAGCTGTGGGGCATAGTTTCATAATGTTTCCAAATGAGGAGAGCCTGGAGTTTTGCAAGTCCCTTGCTCAGTAAGCTGGATGTATCTGCTGTGTTGCAGCAGGTATCTAAATCTGGCAGAAGAGGTGGCTGAGTGGGAGCTGGTTAGTGCTGGGAAGCAGAACACTGAGCAAATGTTGGGCAACTGGCTGAGCCTTCTCTGGGGAGCATTTAAGATTCCTTTTGGAGAGGACTGTGAAAATTTGCTAGAATAAATTCTTCTGTGCTCTGGCTTTCATTCTTAGTAGTGCAACTGTAGAGGAGCATTCTGGTACAGTGAACTGGAGCGGAAACAGACAGCCCTGCCTTCACAAGTCTGAAGCAGAGAGATAGGTTGGCCTGTCCCTTAGCACTTATCTTTCTAGCATTTAATTTAATTTAATTTAGGGTAGAGGTTAGGCAGTCGGTGATTAGCTCTTGCCTAGAGGGGTCAGCTGTGCTTTCCTGTCACAATTTATATTGATTATACGTGTACTGCTCAAAATTTAGTTTGCTGCTTCTTATCAGAGTTCAGTTTCTCAAAGTTGTTCAACATCATCTTTGGTGAAAGTGTTTTTACTGATGACTTTTGTGTAGCAAAACCTGCCTGACTGTGGTGTAGCTTATGCAGAGGAGCAGTACAAAAGAGCAGGATCTGTGTTTTTTATTCAGTCTGTTGTAGAAAGATGCACATAAATGAAACAAGGCAGTTGCAGATGGTAACTGTTCTGGGAACATGTTTTCCTAAAACTATTATAAGTACCTGATTTCTTATGTTAACTTTTGCCTATTACAGCTTATGCATATTCACAGTGGGAATTTTTCCTTTACATCCAGCTGAAACTGTACTCGCTTTTAGACTCACTACTTTTGATCATCTTGTACTTGCTGCTCTCTTCAGCCTTTCCACTGATGAGCTACTTTGTGCTTGTACAGTTAGTTGTGGTTACACTTGCATCTATTAGTAGTTCCCCATATGAATATGAAAGGAACACCCCAAGTATGATCAGGAAAGTAACTTTGTCTGTAGTTCTTGCTTTGTATTGCACAGCTGGAAGCTATTTTTTTAGAGTTCCAGCAAAACCTTTCCTACTGAGCCCAGAGCTGAACCTAAGCTCTTGACTTAGCGTCTTCACTCTGTTTCCAAGGTAGATTTAGAAATTCTGATTCTTTTCTATGTATGAGAGTATGATTTCATCTTCTATGGGTCTCCCCTGGTGTACATCAGGTTTCCGTCTGCAGTCATTCTTCCACTAAACTCATCTATACACTATGGCAGAGAGACCCAGAGTGTCTCAGTGATTGTGCACAAGTAGGAATTTATAGCTAAAGGGCAGCCAATACAGCATACCTATCTAGCATAAATGCTAACCTGCGTCATTGTTAATTACATCAGTTCTGTTTCAGAGCTAGCCTCTGTGGTTCCTTTCTTTTGTGTATAGCACTGAGGGTATTGCTAGGTTTGTTTTTGTTTTTAGATTTGCTTGCAATGAAAACTTAGCCTTACAGCCTCATTTCCTGCCTCCTTCCTCCAACCCCCAGCTGGTGCTACAAGAGATGATCCTTTATCAGCAGCTTTGGTGTTCCAAATTTTTTTCTTCAATGGAGTGTTACTTAGCTGTGTTGATATCTCCTGTTCATCAGTTATTCATGCAAAGCTTTAGTTATGGCAGGAGGATTCTTGCTGTTTAAGGATGTTCAGCACTGTCCTATTTGTTATGGCTACTTGTTCTCATTGTGTCTTTGTCATGAGAATGTCAGCCTCCCTGGATTTTGAACAAACAGTTTGATTGCTTGTATTTATGTATTTTAAAACACAGCTGGAAAACTCAGCTTGACCCTGATTCATGGTTATTGCTTATGAATAAAAAGTCGTCTTCCAAGCACCAATTCAAAATGACTTAGCAGGTTATCACACAACTTCACAAGCACCTGAGTGTATGGATGTTGCAGCAAAAGCATTGGCCAAAACTAGGAGTATTGTCTTTGTCATAGCTAGAGGTGGCCAAAAGGATGGGGAAAATTCAGATCACTTAGTTCTAGGTCTCCCTAATCCCCAGCCTCCCACCTGTGTCTCCCAGGGGTATGTGTTCCCTGCATGAATTCTCCATATTTTCTGTCTTGTTTTTACAGCAAAAAATCATGAGTTTTGTTGTGAAGCACGCTGCAGACGAAGCGTATGTTCCCTGTTGAAGAACTAAAGACTCAACCAATTGCAGTGCAGACTTATATTTGCTCAGTAATTAAAGTCATGTTCTAGTTCATTGATTGGAACCGTACCCTTCCTTTCCTTTTGACTTGAAGGGGCCCCATACAAGTGAGTAGGTTTTTCTGATTGAGAACTTTCACCACACACTGGGAATTAGAACAGGGTGAATAAATTGAGAACTTTCTAATTGAGAACTTTCACCACTTTCACACTGGGAATTAGAACAGGGTGAATAAATCCATTACAAATAAAGTTTTGGGCCAGCTAAAACCAATAGCAAATTAGTAGCCAAATACAGTTAGTAATTGTAGTGAAAAATATTGAGATAGGGGAGTTTTTAGTGTAAATACTTCTTTCTGTATGATCAGAAATAAACTTTTAAACATATTTTTGGAACATTATTTTGTTGAAAAATTAACTCTGTGCCCGTCCCCCCTGCCATGTTGGAGTTGGTGAAAATCTTCCTGTTGATTTGCCTTTTTGTCAAGCTATAAAAAAGGAGCGGTCACAAAAAGTAGGGACTTTATTTACTTTACTGATTTACATTTCTTGCACCATTCTTTATATGCATTATGGGTAGGTCGAACTGGTGCTCAGAACTTCATATTTAGAACTGCCATATGTTTTCTCTTATTTGTTTTTTCTTCCTTCTCTAACTTTTCTTTTTCTGCTTTGTTCCTACTTGGGTGTACTTGTGCCAGGTATAATTATCCTGGTATAATTTTCCTGGTATTGTGAGTCTCTTTCAACCTCTTAAATTAAAAATAAATGCAATAGCTACAAATAAAAACAAATAAATAGAAGAAATAATACCCGTCAAATTTTCTAATAAACACTAAATATTCCACAGGTACGCTGGGTGACTGTATTTGATTAAAGAGTTACTTGTTTTGTTTTTTCGTATGTTTGAAATGAATTACAATCTATCTAT